AGGCTAGTGATGTAAAAAGCCTGATTAACTTGCCCGACACCCCTGCTTGCTGCCCATAAAAGGCTTCCACTGAGTATACTTCACAGGCCTTGTCAGAGGGGAGGCTGCCCCAGGCTTGAATCACTTAATAAAATCAAGTGGATATTTTAAATTCACTTGGTTGGATTTCTGTTATTTCACTATTGTAAATCTTATCTTTAAAAAATAATGTGTCCAGGGCCTCCCTGGTGGCACAAGGGGTTAAGTCTCAGCACTACGAAGCTAGCCACAGCCACTGCAGCATGAGTTGGATCCCAGGCCAGGGAGCTGACCCGCATGGCACAGCAGACCTCTCTTGTCTCCCTGCTGCTCCCCTCAGCAGTGGATCTCAGCAGATATGCCTGTTCCGCTACCCACTCTGTCTCTGGTGAATCCTCTCAACCCTGCACCTCTGGCCTGTACCCCAGCTCTTGTATGCATAAATAAATAAATCTTTAAAAAATAATGTGTCCGTAAATGAATGCAATGGGGCCTAAATATCATAGTCATCTGACACCAACATTATCCTGTTGTGCCCAAGATCAGCAGACTCGGCGAGCATAGCCTCCAAGAATCCAAAGACAGCTGATGCAAACGCAAAAGGGAGTTTTTTTTTTTTTTGAACTTTCCCCAAAAGGGGGACCTGCCCCAGTGCTGCCCCACAAGGGGTACGGATAACCAATTAGAGGTCCCTGGGTAGAGACAAACACCAAAGTTTTAAGAACAAACACACTAAACGAACCAAAAAACAAATTTTTCAAATGGGCCCCATACAAATGCTACCCCAGTGCTGCCCCACAGGGGATAGCCATTCAGGTGGTCCGGGGACGTCTCCCCTGGTCCACGCCAAGACACCTACCAGCGCATCCACTTAAGCGTCTGGCTACCAAAATTACAGGTTTGCAAACAATTCCACAGGTACTGAGCACAAAAAATACAAATACAGGTACTCAGTACTTCTACAGGTTTGCAAACAATTTTACAGGTACTGAGCACAAAAAATACAAATACAGGTACTCAGTACTTTTACAGGTTTGCAAACAATTTTACAGGTACTGAGCACAAAAAATACAAATACAGGTACTCAATACTACAGGTCTGCAGACTCAAACTTCACCACTCACCTGCGCGCTTTAATGGCTCCCTTCAGCCGTTTGGTGGTTGGGGTCTGTGCTAGCCGATCCCGGACGAGCCCCCAAATGTTGTGCCCAAGATCAGCAGACTCGGCGAGCATAGCCTCCAAGAATCCAAAGACAGCTGATGCAAACGCAAAAGGGAGTTTATTACGGGCTCGAGACCGGGCCCTCGACACGCACCGATGCAACGGCAGAGGTCGAGAGCCCCGAACAGAGGAAGCAGGGGTATCTTATTGGGTCGCGAGTGACGCGAACTTTGCAAGAAGCTGGCAATTACTCATTGGCTACTACAAAGGCATTTTGGCGCGCGCGGTTAGTTTCAAACTGATTGGACAGTTAGAGATGCTGTCCCATTTATGGATAGGACTGCCCTCATTGGTGGCTGGGGTGGTCTGCTTTTTCGTCACCAAGTGGAGTGAGGGTTGTGACTGCTGAAACTATCTCCGGAATGCGGCTGGACAAGGACTAACATAGCAAGGTGGAGGATATACAAAATGGCGAAACCTCGGCTAAGCTTGGTTCCACATATCCATTTTAAAGGACATGAAAAAAATCAGTGTTGACTTTTGCCTGAGCCCTCTGCTCCGGATTAAAAAATTTCTCAATCATGTTCCAGAAAAGGATTCATGCAAAGACGCCTTTACATATGAGATAAGTCAGATTCTTCCTGGGGTACGAGTGACCAGGTGAGATGGACTCCAGACTCCCATCCCTGGCCTCATAGTGACCATCTGAACTACAATACACAAATCAATGGCAAAAAAATATTTGTTAATCAAACTTTGTTTGGTCTTCTCCCAGCAGGTGCAGAACTTCTGGCCCACCCTCAGCCTTCGCCAATTTACAACCCTCCATAATAGCCCCTCAGAGAGCAAAGGTAAAGAAATTCCATTTACAAGATTCGGGAGTCTGGTTCCTCCCATTCCTACCTCTTCCCCATGCCCTGTCCTTTCCAGCCTTGTTACTTCTCCCTATAAAAGAAAAACCTTTCTGCCTCACCCTGCAGAGGTCGCTGACCTCCATGCTGCCAACTTAGTTCTCACACACCCCTCCCAAAATCCTTTCCAATAAAGCCCATCCTTGCCAAATCCAGGTTTTTTTTCACACTGTAGCCAACATTCTTTTTTCTCCTTGAATTTAGATTCCCATTCAATTTCTGATGGCATTTTAACCTAGATTAATACATTTTCCATGCTTGAGAATATTCCCTGGAGCACCTGATGTACTTTTCTTTGATCACCAAATTGCATATATAAATTTGAACTTGTTAATTCTAGAAAGTGTTCTGTGACCCATGAGGTTCTAACTGTTCTTTTTTCCCTACCAGATAAAGAAGGAATTATATAAATTGTTGCAATTATGACATAATTGTTGCAATTATTAGTAGTAAGTGTGATCAAGTAACAAATTTATAGCATTTCATTATATGAGCAATAATCTTGAGACATAGAAGGTAAATTTTCATTAGAAATGCCTTTGCAAATAGGTCTCTTAAAAAGATAGATTGAGTCAGTTATTTTTCCATTAAGTGTATAAATCTGGGGATGAATATTACTTTTTTTGCCAGCATGAGACAGAATTGGGCCCTTTGTTTTTATGACTGTAAGCTCTGACAAACTTTGTGTTCACATAAAAAGATGGGGGTGAAAGGAAGCTTATTCTGGCAATGTCTCTTGAAATTCATCACTAGCCTCAAAAACACTTTTTATGAACTATTAGCTGACGTGATTAAATCCTCCTTGGATCTTAGTGAAGATGAGGAATCAGAAGTCACCCTCCTGGTAGAAGAATTTCTTGCCCAGTCTTGGATAGTAACCTGGCGTCTAGCTGTGTCTGGGGTTTCCTCCACGGGGGGCTCTCTTTCTCAGGGTAACGCAGCAGAGCAAGATTTAGATGGGGAGTTGTGTGTGCCTTTCCTTTGTAAAGTGGGAGACGGCTATAAAGGGGGAGAAAAGCCTAACCTCCAAGGACTCAAGCTGGTTCTCAGGTCCGGTTCCGCAGAAGTTGAGGGCATTGACGCCTTAAGACCACCTAGAGTTAGGACTCACAGGCTCCACGTTTATTATTGTTCTCGATATTACTGACATGGCATTAAGTTATCTGTTAACCTCTGTTACCCGCCAGACTGATAATGGGAGGCCCTGGGATTTTGCTTTTTGTGTGTCCCACGACAGAGCCATATTAAGGATTTATTACTTTTTTTAAAGATTTATTTATTTATGCATACAACAGCTTGGATACAGGCCAGAGGCGAGGGAGGGTGAGAGGATTCACCAGAGACAGAGTGGGGAACAGAACAGGTAGACTGACCCAAGTACGCTGCTGAGGGGAGCAGCGGGCAAGTCAGGCGAAGTCTGCTGTGCCATGTGGGTTGCTCCCTAGCTGGCTGGGAATCACACTTGTGCTGCAGAGGCTGCAGATTGCTTCATAGGTTGGGTCTTAACCCTTGCGCCAGCAGGGAGGCTCCAGGATTTATTACTTTTGAGTAAAGTATTGCGAAAGGGTAACTGAAACAAATAGCACCCAAGGCGCACATCTGATCTTTAAATTCCTTCTCTAGGGCCTCCCTGGTGGCGCAAGGGGTTAAGACGCAACCTATGAAGTTATCCGCAGCCTCTGCAGCAGGAGTTCAATCCCCAGCCAGGGAGCTACCCACAGGGCGCAGCAGACCTCTCCTGTCTCCCGGCTGCTCCCCTCAGCAGTGGATTTCAGTAGATCTGCCTGTTCACTCTGTCTCTGATGAGTCCTCCCAGCTCCCCGCACCTCTGGCCTACACCCCAGCTCTTGTATGCATAAATAAATAAATCTTTTTTTTAAAAAAAAAATCCTTCATTAGAACCTATCGTGTACGTTATTTCACCTGCTTGGTGGACGCGGAGGAGGCAGGGACTGTCCTTCTGCAAACGCGAGCGTGCACTCTGTGAGTCACTGTGCCCGTGGTGGCACGGGCTCCGTCTCGAGTTGGCATCCCTCCCGGGCTGGGCGGGCTGGGGCGGGGAGGCAGAAGCGACGGGCAGGCGGGCGGGGAGCCCGGTCCGTCCCGCCTCTCTGGAAGATCCCGCGGCGGGCGGGCTTCGGGCACAAGCCACACCCACCGGGCACAAGCCACACCCACCGGGCACAAGCCACACCCACCGGGCACAAGCCACACCCACCGGGCACAAGCCACCCCCTCGGGGAGCCCCGCCCCCTGCGCCGGCGGCCAACCCGCGGCATGTAGGATCCCGACCAATCAGAAGCGGCCTTGGGCGGGCGTTGCCGGCCAGCGAGCCAATGGGCGGGCGGCGCAGCGGCGCAGGCCGGGCGGGGGAGCTGCCGGGCGCCACGTGCGGGCGGAGCGGACGCGCTGGGCTCCAGGTGACCCTCTGGGCTCCAGGTGACCCTCTGGGCTCCAGGTGACCGGGGTCCCGGCCCGGGGCGGCGGGGGCGGGGCGGGGCGGGCTGGCGCGGCGGGTCTGCCGACGATCGCGGGCCCCCTGCGCGTGGAGGCCGCCCTCGGCCTGCGGCGGCGGACACCCGGCCCGGCCGACCGCTGAGCCCGGCCGCCGGGGTGCAGGCCCGGCCCGGACGCCGCCTGGCCCCGGCCCCCGCCCTGCTGGGAGGAGGGGGTCGGCCCGGCGGCGGGGGGCGGCCTGGGCCTTGGGGCCCGGGGACGGGCGGCGCGGCGGCCAGGGGGTGACCCGCCCGGCGCGTCCCGGGGTGAGGCCTCCCTCCCGTGCGCCCCGGCGTCCCGCCCGCGGCTGGGCCAGGGAGTGGGGCGCCCTCGGGCTTTGCTGGCCTGAGAACTGCTCGGCAGCGCCGGGATCTGATCTCGCCCGGCGTTCTCAAACGTGGGCGACAGTGAGTACCCTGATTTGGGATAAGGGGCCCTCTCGGACCCCTTCCTCCGACATGGCAGTTAGGAAGGTGGGGGAGGCCAGGGAATGGAGCTTTAAACAAACTTAACTGTTCCTGGTAATTAACTGCTTTGGGGACGCACTTAACTTGGTTTAACCTTCCATTTGGGGAATACAGGCTTCATCCGGGGACAGTGACTGTCCACTTTATCCCACTCAGACGGCCACTGCCTTCCCCAAGCCAGCAGGTGCCAGTGACAGTTCTGTCTCTCCTGCTCCCTGAGGGGCCTTTGCTCTGAGGCTGTCCCTCCCCTTGGACCTGGGCCCCAACCCCAGGTCAGGTGGCTGCAGATCTCTGGAACCAGGATTCCGGGCCTGGGGAGAGATTTGTGTTATCATTGCTAAAACAGAAGCTTCTCCCCTGCCTCCCTGAGCACCAGCTGGGGACCGGACTGGGAGGTGCCTTTGGTAAATTATCCTGATGCTGACCTGTCAGCCAGGTCTGGGGCGTGACACGCAGCTTTCATCTCCTGAAATGCAGGCCTGACGCCTGGCTGCTTTGAAACCTTGCCAGCAGGGTGAAGGAGGCCTCCCTCAGCCTCCTCAGGGGAGGGAGAGCCCTTAAGCTGCCCTCACTGCCCCGCCCAGTCAGTCTTGGCCTGGGTCAGCCTCAGTTCCTTCCCATTGCTGGGCCAGGCAGTTGAGTGCCATATTTATCAGGGTCCCCATGTGCTTGTTAGTATGACAAAGCTGATATTACTGGTGAGTCCTTTTAAGGGGGCACTGCCTCCTGGGGAAGGGAGGAGTCAGCAGAGAGAGGGTGAGTCAGGATGGGTCACCACGCCTGCCTTGGCCCAGGCAGCTCCAAGTCCTGGTCCCTACACCCACACACCCCATTTCTCTCATCTCCATTACTGCTGCTCAGACCCCACCTTTTCCAGGCTTCCCGGAGGCCTTTGTGGTCTGCTGCCCTCCCCCTGAGAGGGCACCACATCCATCTGCTGCCCTTTGTGGTCTGCTGCCCTCCCCTGGCACCACATCCATCTCTGGATTCAACCGTAACTGTTAGCCCCTCTGGGAAGGGCTCCCCCCATCCCTGCCTCCCACCTTGTGACTGCTGCCCCAGACCCCTGGCCCCCCTCCCATGGATGGATGGTGCCTCGGGGGGTTCTGCCAGTGTGTCTCCATATGGATGCCCTTCCTACCTGGGCAGTCAGGCAGACTTTCCTGTATCTAATGTATCCCAAACCCTCCAACTGTTGGGGTGAACCTTCTGAGCTCTGGGGGAGACTGACCATTGACTTTGGAGAGGAAATTCTTTCTTCTCGACTGTGCCATGCTGTTGAGCACAGAGGCCTGGATTTCTTGTCCCCCCGCTAGGCTGATGTCCAAGACTCCCCAGGAGCCTCTGGGGCTCCTGCCATCGACCAGCGGAGAGCAGTCTGGGACACCAGCTTGGTGGTGTCCATGGATGGGCCACCAGAGTGTGATGGGCACCCAGAGCGGGAGGAGAGGTGAAATGGTCACAGGGGCAGCCAGCCCCTCCGGCTGCTGCCCACCTTACCCTCGGTGGCTGCAGGCTGCAGGAGGGCCTGCTTGCCCATGGCTGCCTCTTGAGCCTTTGCCCCTAATTCCTCCCCTTCCTCAGGGGTTCCTCTTCTGCCTTCATAAACGCTTGACCTCCTCTGGGGGCTTCCGAGAATTGTGCGGCAGCTTGCTCTTGCACAGCACCTCCAGCTCAGCCCCCACCGCACCTCCCTCCATTCCGCCTTGGCAGGACCCACCTTGTGACCCTCCTGGCAGACAGGACTCCAGAGTTTCATCATGACACTGGCCTGCACTGCTCTTTGGAGGGTGAAGGGTCGTTCCAGAAAGGTTTCCTGGAGGATGTAGACAGGTGAGAGGAATGTGAGGAGGAGGAAGGCCTGTGGCTTGGGACGGGGAGGTGGTCCAGGCTGAGGCCACACCGTCCTGGGAAGAGCCAGTCACCAGCCTGCGCAAGAGCCAGAAGCTGTCTGGGAGCGGGGAGCCTGCGTTAGAGGCTGAGCAGACCCCACCATGTCATGGTCACGTCCTCTTCACACAGGAAGGGGCAGCAGGGCCAGTGTGCACAAGAGGACCCTGAAGCCTATTGGTTCAGGTCTCTTGGAAAGAGCTGAGCTGGCCCCTGCTCGGCCTCCTGCCAAGCCCTGGCTTTCTGTTCAGTCAAACATGTGCCGCTGAGTTAGCCCCGCGCGAGGCGAGGCTGGAGCCGGTGCTTCTGGGAGTGGCTGCTGCGTGTGGGGCTGGCAGGTGTGCCCTCAGCACCTGCAGCAGGGGCTCCAGAATCAGCGAGGGGGCTTGGAGTGAGCTGGCTGGGGGGGCCACATCTGCGGAGCTCAAGTTGGGGCTTTCCCTCTCCTTTTTGTTGAACGTTTCCATAACAGTGTGTTCCTTTGTTGAGGTGTTGTAGGGAGGGAGATGCCAAGGTGAGGTCAAGTTCTAGCAGCTGTGTCAGAGCCCGAGGGTCACACGCGTGTCACGCAGAGGTGATGCTGTCACAGCGGTGGGCTCTGAGCTCCACGTCGTGGTGGAGGCCATGTAACTTGTGTTTTGGCAGAAGTGTTACCACTCACATGTTACAGCAAACATTTCTTGTTTGTTATTTCTTTTTTTTAAAGATTTAATTATTTATGCATACAAGAGCAGGGCCCAGGCCAGAGATGCGGGGGGTGGGGGGTGGTGAGAGGATTCACCAGAGACAGAACGGGGAACAGAACAGGCAGACTGACTGAAACACACTGCTGAGGGGAGCAGTGGGCAAAACAGGAGAGATCTGTTGCGCCATGTACATTGCTCCCTGACTGGCCGGGGATCAAACTCGTGCTGCAGAGGCTACGGATTGCTTCATAGTGCGGTGCTTAACCCCTTGCGCCGCCAGGGAGGCCCCCAGCAAACATTTCTTTGGGGTTCGGGACTGCAGGCGGGGGAGGCAGACTCAAGGGGCACCCAGCCGAATGCCCGTCTCCCTTTTTCAAGAGAAGCTCTGGGGGCTGACCAGCATGCCCAGCTTTTAAAAAGATGTTGGTAGATGCTGTTGCGGGGGGAGGAACAAATGTCGCTCAATTGGTTACTTCATTTGGGTTAACTTGTTCCCAAAACCCAAGTGTGGCTCTCTGTGCTGTTTCCCAGCGGCTCTGCCGAGGGTCTGTGCCTTCCCTGGCAGGGGGGAGCCTTAAAGCTGTGTGGGGCTGGGCCTCCCCTGGTGGCGCAGCGGTTGAGCCCTGGGCTGCGAAGCTGCCCGTAGCCTCTGCAGCGCCGGTTCGATCCCCGGCCACCAGCGAGGGTCCCACATGGCGCGACAGACCTCTCCTGCCGCCCGCTGCTCCCCTCAGCAGTGTACTTCGTCAGTCTGCCTGTTCTGCTCCTCACTCTGGCTCTGGTGAATCCTCTCACCCTCCCGCACTTCTGACTGTGCCCAGTGCTTGCATAAATAAATAAATAAATAAATCTTAAAAAAAAAAAGCTGTGTGGGGCTTATGTCCCCATGCTCTGCTGTAGCCTGTGCATTCCCACCGCCACAGCTACGTAAACATTGTCAAGCCTGAGAGTTGGGGGTGCACTGCAGCTGGAGGCTGGGAGCGTGGCTCGGGCCCTAGCAGCCTCACTTTCACCCAGCGAGCCAACTGTCCTCTCTGCCTGCGGGTTCTCCCCTGTGAGCTTGCTTGGGAAGAGCGAGTGATTCCACCTGAAGTACTTGGAGCGATTTGCCTGTTTGAGGTCCTTGACACATTCTGGAGCCTGGGACAAAGCAAAGGGCTCAGGGCCGCCTGGAGCCTGCAGGAGCGTGGGGGCCAGGGCTGCCGTGCCCAGCACACCCCTCACCCTAGCCCTCTGCCCTTTGTTTGCTCTCTCCAGGTGCTGCCTCCTTGGTAGTCACCTCCCAGGCCTCCTCCCGCACCGGTGAGCTGATTGGGATGGTATCCCGGGAAACCACTGAATCTGCCCAGGGCCTGTGCCCTCCCCTGGCCGGCCTAAATGCCAAAGACGTGCCTCGGAGGAAGCACAAGAGGAAGAGCCGCCAGCATCAGAGGTTCCTGGCCCACAAGGCCTTGCTGCAGGAGCAGGGGCTGTTGAGCGCACCCCCAGCACTGGGGCTCAGGCTGGCACCATCAGAGATGCACCCCAGGGCTGAGTCCGGAGGGGCCCCGGCCAGCAAAAAGCCTGCCCGCAAGGAAGCTGCGGCGCCCTGGCCCAGCAAGTGCGTGGCCATCGACTGCGAGATGGTGGGCACGGGGCCCCGAGGGCGGGTGAGTGAGCTGGCCCGCTGCTCCGTGGTCAGTTACCATGGCGACGTCCTCTATGACAAGTATGTGCGGCCCGAGATGCCCATCGTGGACTACCGCACCCGCTGGAGTGGCATCGCCCGGCAGCACATGCGCCAGGCCATCCCCTTCCAGGTGGCCCAGAAGGAGGTGAGGGCCGGGGCTGGTGGGGGATCTGTGACAGGCTGGGGAGGTCTCTACACAGGTGGTGGTGAAAAGGGGTGTACAGGGCTACAAGGCAGGAGGCTGGATGGAAGGATGGAGCGGCCACCCACCTGCCCGGACTCAGACTAGAGAGCCACCAAAAAAGCCCAAAAGGCTAAACGGCCTAAAACCAAAACCAAGGCCATAGCAATACAACGCCCACACACTAGGGGCCTCAGGCCAGAGCCTAACAGAGGACAGTGCCCGATAAGAGGACAGGCCAGTGTCTAGGGTTCTCACCCGCACGCACAATTGCAAGAGACCACAGGACCACATGGAGTTAATTTTATAAACAGGAAACAGCTCACTGTACCCACAGGTGGCCGCCACCTCACCCAGATAGCGCCAGTGATGGTCACTACTGGTCCCACAGAGGCAGTGTCATGGACACCCAGTGTTCACCCAGCTCTGTGTGAGTTGTTGGGTGACACCAACAGCAAACAGGCCCAGGCCTTTGGTGCTCCTCTCAGGCAGTGCTAGAGACAGGACGGGGTCCGGTCCCTGCAAGGGCCTTTGGCTTTTCTTCCCTCCTTGGAGGTTGGCCGCTGGGTGCTTCTTCCTTCTTGAAGGCCAGGAACAGCTTTGCCTTCTTCCTTTGAGGGCTGGAAATGTGTTTTCTTCGGGGCTGGCATTGTCCCTTCTGTATCTCCTCTTCCTGGTCAGGTGCCTTTTCCCTCACCACCTGCCAATCCTGGCTTATATCCTCTTTCAGGGTGCCCCACCCACAAGTTTGATTGGCCTACTTTTCAATCCTGTGGCTGATTGGGCCATTTAGCACCGATCAGCTCATAGCTCACACCTGATTGGTCCATTCCACAATCCAGGTAGTACACTTACATAAAAGGTCTCTGAGGAGCAACTGCCACAGCTGACTTGGGGGGGAGCAGCAGGTGTGAGGACACCACTGCTGCTGCTGGCTCCCCCAGCTGAGCCGCCTGGGTGCGGTGACAGTGGGGGTACTGGCTCTGATCACGTTTGGTAAGGGCAGTTCCGGCTGTGAGGTGTGAAGCAACTTGCCTTTTACATGGTCTTTGTGATGAAGCATTACATGTCCATAAAATCCACGAGGTCCACCATCCTGCACCCCTGGGTGCCGATGTGCTGCTCTATTTCCTTCATACTCGTTAAGGGATTTGTGTTTGGGGTGGCGTTAAGGACGCAGCAGTTCCCAGGCATGTGTGACCACAGGAAACACCACTAAGTCCCGGGTCCTGGTGCCTAGTCCCCACAACGGACGTTTTGGGGAGGCCCCACTGTGTCCGTTCCCAAAAGTCATTGTGCCGTGCAGACTTGCGCCCCCAAAACCTCAGGGCTTTTGGGGGAAATGGGGTGAAATCATCAGTGAACCCCCAAATGAAAAGGTTGAAACCTTGTAAAAATGGTAGCATGGTTTCGCACATTAATGCGTAAGGAATGCAGGCAGCACAGAGGGGTGGCCACACTTTTCCTGGGGAGATCGCTCAGGAGATGGGGGTGGGAAGGCTTGAAATGGGGTCCTGGGGGAGGGTGGAAGGAACTCTCTGAAGCCAGAAAGTGGGCATGGGCGGGGAGGCAGGCTTGGCACACCATAGGTGAGCCACAGCCCTGTTGGAGGCAGGGGCGCACCCCACTGACTCCTGTCTGGCCCCCAGATCCTGAAGCTCCTGAAGGGCAAGGTGGTGGTGGGCCATGCACTGCACAATGACTTCCAGGCCCTCAAGTACGTGCACCCGCGGAGCCACACCCGGGACACCACCCACGTCCCCACCCTCCTCAGCCAACCCGGGACCCCCGCACGCACCCGCGTGTCTCTTAAGGACCTCGCCCTGCAGCTGCTCCACAAGAAGATCCAGGTGCGTGAGCTGGGTCCGGGCAGGATCGTGGGCTGTGTGCTTCTGTCTCCCCAAGACCAGCACAGGCAGCTCAGAGGGTTCTCGCTTCACTACCCTGCACCCCCAGGGGACCGTGACGTCCCGCCACTGTCTTCCAGCTGGGCTTGGCTCGTAACCTGGAAGACAGTTCCCACAGGTCAAAGTCTCAGACGTGAATGGGGGAGAGGGATGCCATTTTTTGCTGGAAGATTTTTTTTTTAATTTTTATTTATTTATACAAGCGCTGAGCACAGTCAGAAGTGCGGGAGGGTGAGAGGATTCACCAGAGCCAGAGCGGGGAGCAGAACAGGCAGACTGATGAGATACACTGCTGAGGGGAGCAGTGGGTGCAGCAGGAGAGGTCTGAGCACCATGTGGGACCCTTGCCAGCGGCGGGCTCTCCAGAGGCTGCGGGCAGCTTCGCAGTCCAGCGCTCAACCGCTGCGCCACTGGGGAGGCCCTGCTGGAAGATTTTTTTAAGTTCATTGAGGTGACACTGCGTGATAACCATGTGCCCAGGGCTTGTGGCTGAGGACCCCCATGTGTGTGCTCAGCACTGAGCTCACCGCTAACGAGAGTTCCCTCAAAAGACATGTTTGTGAAAGGGGATTTATTTGAGAAACATGGAAACAGGACAGACACTTCCATTTGTCATTCAATTCACTAAGAGGCAGCGGCTGCACCAAGCTTGGGGCGGTGAGATGCATGGTGTTTCTGAGACAGCAAGGGGAGGGTTAGGGAAGCTGAGCGTGGCCCCCTCGGGGAGCCAGCCTGCACCAAGCGCTGGTGTGAGCCAGTGGCCCTTCCTGGGACACCTTGAAATTCACGCTTACAAACTCGAGTGAAATTTGCACCTAAATTCCAAATCTGTCATCATGATCTGGGGGTTCAGTTGAAGTTCGCTTTCTTCTGCAGCGCCCACCAGATCTTCAGGTGAAGTGCTGACGGCGCCTGGACTCTCCGGTCACTCAGGTGTAAACTAGCCGGGTGTGCTAGGGCCTTAGGCTCACGTTACAGGTGGTTGATAAGAAACAGCGGAGACAGTGTAACAGCCCATCCGCTTCCAGAGGGACATGTCAGGTTAGATGTAGCGACTGCCCAGTGCCCTTGCTGGGCATCCTGGAGCGCTGACCCTTGGGTGCATTTTGTAACAAGAGGGGCCTCCTCTCAGCCTCTGGCTCCCGAGCCGCTGGGCTTCCTGGCTTTGCTCTCGGATGGAGGGTGTGTTTGGAACAACCACCAAGCCTCGTTCTCAGGATTTTGATTTTTTGATATTTTAGACTTCAGGGATTTTGATCTTTCAAATTTCAACATTCAGATGTGTCTTCCTGGACTATGGTGGGCCCCCTTCCTGTCTGCCCCCCACGTGATCCCTGGCTCTGTCCCGCCTTCGGGCTTAGAGCCGGGGACCGAGTTCTCCGTGGGACTCTCGCTCCCACTTGCTCCAGGTCATAGCTCCATTTGCTTTCTTGCCTTTGAAAGAGGAGGTTTTGAGCTTGTTACGAGCTGGGGACCTGGCTCAGAGGAGTAGCTGGTGGTGGGGCAGCTCTTCTGTGTGACTAGAGCCATGCCCTTCTCTCTGCGCGAGCTGCACCCCCTCCTGGAAGGACGTGTTCTTGGGCCTCGCCAGGAGCCTTCTGGGTCAGGCAGTGGTATGCACTCTCCCACAGGTGGGCCAGCATGGCCACTCGTCTGTGGAGGATGCCATGACGGCCATGGAGCTGTACCGACTGGTGGAGACGCGGTGGGAGCAGCAGGCCAGCAGCCTCCACCCCGGCGCCAGAGAGCCCGACAGCAGCCCTGACATGGAGAAGTACATGGAGGACCAATACTGGCCCGAGGACCTGACCTAGACCTCCAGTGGAGGGCCGGGGGTGGGGGACACGGGACATAAGGGAGTGAGTTGGGGAGGTGCACAGGGAGCAGTGGGGGGGCTGCAGCCCCCACGGTCCCAGGAGCTGGGGGGCAGGAGCCCCCAAATCCTGTCCCTGTCAGGATTCCAAACCTTGGGCCAGGCTGCTGCGGCCTTCCCTACCCCCATGGGTATGCTGCTAGCTCTTTATCTCATGCGCTGTGAAGAAGGCAGGGCCTGGTCTCCAGGGCCAGGCAGGAGTAGGGGACGTACCTGCTGCCTGGCCTTCCCACCCCCACACCGTGCCATCTAAGGAAATCAGATCTCCCTCCCCAGGGACGGGGGGAGGTATCCGTATCCAGGAGCTCCCTTATTGGTGGTAAAGTCCTACCTCTTCCTCCAGGGTCGTTTGTTTCTGCTCAGAGGTTCCCTGAAGCTAGAGTGAGGGCTCGCCCTCAGGGAGACGTTTCTCCCTTTCTGAGCTGGACCCCTGACTCTGGCCGCTGCAGGATCTGGGTTCCAGGCTGGATGGGACAGCAGAGCCCATGGGCTCGGGCCCCTCGGTGCTTGGCACCCAAGTCACCAGGCACTACTTCGGGAGGAGGGAAAGCAGAAAGCTCTGGGTGGATACTGTGGCCTATTTATTGGACCCCAATGAGACCTCCCTCCAGCCCTCCAGCACTGGCTCTCCTAAGCACAAGCCAGCCCTGGGGTCTGTGCGGACTGCACCGAGGACCTTGCTTTATCACTAAGAGCCAGGCGGCTGGTCTGCAGGGGGCCTCTGCGGTCCTCGGCCGGGTGGGGGTTAGCAGCTGTGCCCTGGACCCACGCTTGGGCTGGTGCTTCCAAGGGCATTTTGACAATCCCTGTGGTTATTGGTTTTCTCCAAATTTCTAAAAATGTTCTGTCAGGATTCCAAACCGAACTCCCCCCACCCCCCGCCACCTCTTGTTTCCTGAGGGGTCATCTTGGGGCACTGAGGAAGCCGAGAGCTCGGTCACACCGACCTCTGTGCTCACCTCTTAGCAGCTTTAGGACCCAACACAAGTCTGTGACACCCCTCTGGAGCCCACCACCTCACCTGTAAAATGGGGACAGTGGCACAGCCCGCTGGGAGCTATGAGGGGGTGGAGGGACATGCTGAGTGCCCAGTAGGCGCCTGGCCATGGGCACTATGGCCCAGGCAGAAATATCCCTGGTGGATCCTCCCAGCAGCCAGGCCCATCCAGGAGGGATGCACAGAGGGGTCTGGGTCTCTCCCTTGCCCTGTGCCCAGGAGGGGACACCACCGAGGCCTCTACCACAGGTGGCTCCATTGCCAGCCCTCCCTGGCAGGCAGGCACCTGGCCGAGTCACTGGCGCCAGCAGCTGACCCCTGTCCAGAGCTTTGTTCTAGAATCCAGAAAAGTTGGTTACTAAGCCAGACCCACAGCTGAACAGTAGCTTTATTTCTTTGGTTTGTGGGTGAAGGAAGAAGAAGCTGTTCCCGGGGGGAAAACATCCTGGGCTTAAGTCAGCTTTGTTGTAAAACCACTTGTTCTGGAATAAAACTCAACTGGAAAAGTGAAGTGGCCTTTCTGTGAGTTCTCAACCTTGGGTGAGGGGGGGCTAGGTGGAGAGGTGCTGGGGCCTCTGAGTGGGAAGCTTTAAGATACCTGGGGTTTTCCCTGTCACAGGAAAACCCCAGAGCTCCAGAATGTATGCAGCCTCCTCCACAGCACCCCCTTGTAGTCACACGCTCATCCAGCAACCTGTTTCTCCCCGAAGCTGTGTACGCCTTTAACAATGTCTTCATTGGAGAGGAGGCGTAGCTGGAGTGACCACCTTCGAAGGGACTATCTGGCAGAGCCGCCCACGCCCCATCACCTGGCCCAGGGCCACGGTGTCCATTACCTTGGCCCCTCTGCCAGCTTCCTGGCAGGTGCCAACCGGCTCCTCCTGGAAATAGCAGGTGTGCCTTTGTCGCTGGCTGTTTCTCTTACTACAGTGTCCATGTTGTAATGTCAGAATTTCCATCCCTTTGAGGCTGCCGGGTGGTGGACTGTCTGGGTTCGCTTTTGGAGGAGCCGCCGGGCTTTTCCACAGTGGCTGCCCACTGGCCATCCCGTCCAGTCCCCAGGGGCCCTCCTTCTCCACTGGCATCTTGGATGGTGAAGGCCATGGGCAGGGCCTGGCTCTCCATGGCTTTGCTTCATTCCCCAGTGGCCTGGAGGGCCTTTTCACAGGCTTCTTGGTGTAGAAGGGGAAGTTTGTGGGGAATTTCCCCCGGGCCTCTTATTATTATTTTTTGTCTGCCCTACTGCCAAATTAGCAGGGGAAGGGGAAGGGTGAGCTTTAATTAACTTTAATTATGTGCATAAGGGGCCCAGAGAACGGGGACTTGACCACGTCATTCCAGGGAGGTTAGCCTCTAGAAAGGGGCCATAGGCTAGGGCAGCAAAGGCAATTCAGAAGAAACTCGAGTTTAAAGAAAGGGGTTTGCAGTGTTCTTGCCAGAGCATTGGAATGGCCTTTGCAGGCCTGGCCACCTCCAAGACCACCCGGGCCCATTTCCAGATTTTAGGGAGGTGGATAATAGCCTCAGTTCTGGCTCAAGTTTTTCCTCTTTTCTGAATAAGCAGCCTGCCACTCTGGCTCGTCCTGGAGACAGCCTGCCTTTGGCCCCAGCGGCATCTTATTTTTAATCAGCCCGCAGTCTTCTGGAGCATGCTCAGTCGTACCACATAAATTGCTGCTGCTTGACTGAAGTGGCTCCGCCTGCTGCGTGTGATTTACACATGTGCATATTTTAGGGGTACGCGCCCAGCTGCATTTGTCGCCGGCTGCACTGGAGTCTAAAGGGCAGGGGCCTGTAGGGTGAGGGTTCTGACCCGTCACATTGAGCCTCCACTTGGCCTGGGCCCTGCACCTGGTACCAGGGCTCAGAGAGCTCCAGAGGACAGCCCCAGGGCCGGCCTCACTCACCTGCAGCCCACCTCAGCAGCAGGCGCTGTGTCTCATAAAGCCAAGAGACTGGCTCCAAGTCACTCTCCTGCTGTCACCTGACCCAATGGGATTGTGGGCTCACCCCGCCGCTGGGTGACTCCCACCAAACCCGGAGGCATTGCCCGCTGCCCTGGCTGGGGTGAAGGGGCCTCCTTGGGTTGTTACCCTGTACTGGAGCATTTAGTACTTATGAAAAAAATCCCCCACGGCCCAGGCCCAGGTAGGGTTCTAGGAAGACATGGGGGCGGGGGCAGTGAACGAGATGTAGGGAGGTGGGAACAGTACATTATGTGCTATTTTGGATGCAGTGATTCCTGTAGAAACAATCAGGAGGGGGCCAGGACCTGCAGATTTAAGTAGAGGCCAGGAAAGTCCTGGGGGTGTGAGGGCACACCCCGAAGGCACCCTGGAGGAGGACCTTAATGGGGAGAGCGAATGCCCTGGGAACCAAGACGCCAGTGTCTGGGGGGAGGGGCACCCATGGGAGCAGCCACCAGTGGATCCACAAGAAAGTGTTGGCCTGGGGGTGAGGAAAAACAAATTGGTGTGGGAATAGGACTGGTGGGGATTCCTTGGGAAGCGGTCATGGGGGGCCTCCCTGGTGGTGTAAGGGGTTAAGACACAACCTATGAAACTATCTACAGCCACTGAAGCACGAGTTCGATCCCTGGCCAGGGAACTACCCACATGGCGCAGCAGACCTCTCCTGCTTCCCTGCTGCTCCCCTCAGCAGTATTTCAGTCAGTCTGCCTGTTCTGTTCCCCACTCTGTCTCTGGTGAATCCTCTCACCCCCTGCCCCTCTGGCTTATACCCCAGCTCTTGAATGAGCAAATAAATAAATCTTTAATAAAAAAAGTGGTCATGAGCCCAGCACCACCAGTGCTGGTGCTTACCTAGGAGCGCAAACACGCTGGCAGGAGGGACTGCGGCCGGCTTCCCAGCAGGTTATCCACACGGTCAACACACGGAACCCGTCTGAGCAGCGTTGAGAGACACGGGGTAAAGACAGCTTGGCATAGAGGCTGGTTTTGCAGCCATCCCGGGCCAGGTAGCTTCACTGTCAGTTCTCGGCGAAGAAAAATAATTTTGGAGCCTTTGGAAGGCTTTTATAGGCTTGGAATGCTGGGCCAGGGGACAGACCAGCTTCCTTGGCAGTATCTCCCTGGCTGTCTCCCCTCCGTAGCCCTGCCTCAGACCCCTGGGCACAGGGCTCCCCATTCACACACACACAGCCCAGGGCTGTCTGGGCCCAGGTGCCCATCATTACACGCAAGGCTGCAGGACCCAGGTATAGATGCTAATGGCGGGAGGGGGAGGGATCACTTTGCTCACCCTGCTGCACTCCAGGGAATGCTCCCCCACCAGGGGAAGAGGTGAAACAGTATCTGGGGACAATGTGAGTGGGAGCTGAGGTTGGATGCTGAGTGGAGCAAGATAGAGAAAGGCGGGTACCGGAGGGTTCTCGCATCTCTGCAATATCCGGAACCCGAAACAAATTGGCAAAACGCCACTCCTGACTGAAGAATGTGGTTGCCAGAGGGGAGGGAGGGGGCAGAGAGGGGTGAGGCGCAGGAAAGGGGGAGCCCTGTGCAGGGAGGGAGGCAGCTATGAAGCGGTACCCTGAAATGACAGTTATGGAAATGGATGGTAAGCCAATGAAATTTGATTTTAAAAATGTGAAATTAAATAAACCCAGTCATATTCATAAATGCACTATTCTTGAAGAAAATGAAGACCTTTGTAAGATGAGCCTGGGGAGGCTGGGCAGATGGCAGGGCCTGGGGCCATCCTCTCTTGGACACAGTCCGCTCTAGCCCTTAGCAGGGACATGCCTGGGGGTAGACATGGGCAACGGCCTGGAAGGGCAGCCTAGAGCAGGGCACGAAGGTGGCGCCCACGGGGGTGAGGACTGGATGGGTGAGCCAAGAAGAGGCAGAACCGGAGCGCCCAGGGGTGTGTGCAGGGCCTCTGCAGACCTGTGAGCCAGAGGAGGTGAGGAGGAGCATGTGTGGGGGTCACCAGAGGGTGCGGGGTTCTCAGGATTCAGAAACGGAAAGCCCCCCTGGGTCTGTAGGGAATGCAGATTCACCCAAAGTGTAACTGGAAGACTGGAGTTCAGGCCACCTGTCACCACCGAATGCCAATAAAGCAGACACAGGAAACGAATATTTGAGGTGCACTTAATCAGACAGCCGCAATCTGGAAGGCGGGGCGAGCACCCTGAAGAAGCCACCCTCACATTTCACTTCAGCTGGCCGCTACAGTGAGTTGAGCGGACAGTTCAGCAGTGAGGAGGCCTATGTGCTTGCAGGGCCCAGGATGTCCAGCCCGGAGCCCCTGGGGCCCTCCTGGGCCCCTCCTGGGCCCCTGGCCTCACACTGGTCCCCGTGTGCCCAGCTGGTGTGCAGACAGCATGGCTCCCTGCACTCCTCCAGACGCTGCTGGGCTGGAAACTTAACTCGGAGCAGACGGGCCACGACGGTGTGTGTGCACCTTGCCTGCTGCCCGCCGCTGCTCGTCGGTCTCCCTCTACCTAGACCTAGCAAAAGGGATGGGGATTTTGCTGGCTTCCCCCACCTCGGGGGACAAACCTGCATGCATTTGGAAACCAGAAAGTCCCCAGTCTGGGTTGCCCACTCTGGATGGGAGCCAAAAGTTAAACTCCTGGACCTGGAGTCTGGGCCACGGGCCAGCCTGCTGAGCCGTCTCCCGGCGGCTGCCTCCGTGCTCGGTTTTATCTTGAGATTCTTCAAAGGTGGATGTCACCTGGAGAAAACACCACCGTCCTGAGGAAGTTGGTTTCCCAGCCACAAATCTATGACAACCGGGGCCCCAGAGGGGACAGCCCGCTGCTGGCTCTGCAAGATCTGGGCGCCCCCCCACCCCCCACCCCGCACTTACTGCTGCCCCGCCCATCCTGAAGGGTCATTTCCTCATGGAAAGCCAGTGCTATTGTGCCCCAGTTATAATTCACTCATTCAATAAATAGGGGGTGTGTCTGTCTGGGAGGCGCTGCTCTGGGGTCAGAGGGCCAGCCTGGAAGAGCACAGCCCCAGGAGAGACGCCCTGGCCCGTGGGGCCCCTCCTGGTCTGTGTCTGCTTGACCTCATGTCAGCCCAGCAGGACCTGTTGAGGCAGAGGACTGGCTGCCTCTGAGATGCCCCCTGCATGAGGCTGTATGACGCTTCCCTGCCTCCATGCCTTTTCGGGGGTGGTTGGGGTTAACCTCCCCACCTCCTATCCTCCTTGGGCCCCCTTCCAAAAGAGTGACCTCAAACTCCCACGAGAAGGCGCCCCCCACCCCCTACCCAGCCCCAGAGAAGTGTCAGACCCTGTGGTGGCCCCAGAAGCTGTGGGACAGTCCCTGGGCTCCGGCCCTGGGATGTTTACTCTGTGGACTGGGGGGCGGTGAGAAAGGAGAGAAGGATGTGGTAATTACTCTGTCCACGTCAGCTGCGTCACAAGGGGGCCGAGGGCAGGGGCAAAGGCAGCTCTGCTGCCAGCTTCGTCAGGCCTGACTCAGAACACCGTGCTCCCACCTGGCTGTGCTGGGCGATGCAGCAGCCCAGCCTCCCTCCAGGCCCCCTCCCCCTGACTCCGCTCATTTGCTGAGAACCAGAAACTGAAACAGGCAGGATCCCGGCCCAAGTCAGGGGTGAGTCACTGCTCAGAGCAACTGCGGTGGCTGAGAAGTGGCAGCAGAGAGGCAGGAGTGAGCCTGGGCTCAGGAGGTGCAGGTGAGAGGGGCCAGCTGGTGGGGCCAGGGTGGGCGGTGGGAGGGGCCACCTGGGCAGGATCCTGGGACCTCCGGGCTGAGGAAGCCGGGCGGGGTGGCAGGAGGGCAGCTTCCTTGGTGACCAGGTGGTGATAGGGCCAAGGGGGATGCAGATGGTGCTACCTGGTGGGCAGTGCTGAGGATGCCTGGGGCCGCTGCGGCCCTGGAGTGATGGAGGCCCCGCCTGCCGCCCCGTCTCCAGCAGGTTCTAGGGTCCCTGTGGAGCATGGCGAGCGGCATGGAAGTGGTGGCCATGGACTGTGAGATGGTGGGGCTGGGGCCCCTCCAGGAGAGCGGCCTGGCACGCTGCAGCCTCGTGGACCTCCAGGGCAAGGTGGTCTATGACAAGTTCATCCGGCCCGAGGGCAAGATCACGGACTACAGGACCCCGGTCAGTGGGGTCACGCCTCAGCTGATGGAGAGGGCCACCCCCTTCGCCGTGGCCAGACTAGAGGTGAGTGAGGGCTGGACGCCAGCCAGGCCACCCTGTAGATGCCCTTCCCCCATGCATCCGCGTGCTTCCCCGTACCCCTCCTGGTGCCAGGTGTGTGACCAGGGACCCCTGCATGGGGCACACCAGAGGCTGGGAACCCCCTGGCATCCCCATCATATCCTTTGGAGACTCCCAGTCACCAGAGAACCTTAGACTCACCGCTGGGAGCAGCCTCAGGGTATCTGGTCTGCCTCCTCAGTCTTAGGCTGGGGAAACTGAGTCCCCTCAGTGAGGTAGGGGCTCAGTGTCCTTTCCAGCTGCCACCGGTGAACCCTGCAGGGAAGTGACACCCTCAGTGGCTGGACCGCTGCCGTGGGTTTCCCCCTCCCTGGTCTTGGAGGACAGGCCAGGGTTCCGGCCCTGGCTGGCTGTCCCCTCCTCGGGCCATGTGGCCCCACGGTGTTCCCTTGTTTGCCCTTTGGCATGTTCGGTTCCTTGTCCAGGCCTGACTTTCTGTTTCTGCGAATGAGAAATGAAAGCAAACTCAGTCCCCAGAGGGGTGCCAGGGCCAGTCCCTTCTGGGAAGGCATAAGAACAGAAGAAAGCCCTGCTTCCCAGTTGGCGGGACTGGGGGATCCCAAGAGCGCAGAGGACAGAGTGCATTCCACACACACACTGCCAGGCTCCCAGCACCGTGGAGAAAATCACAGCAACCGCTGTTGTTTACAGAGCGCAGGTGACGCGGCTTTGAGGAGAGAGCTCCTTCACGCCTGATGAGCAGCCCCGCCAGGAGGCCGCTGGGAGCAGGCAGTTGGTCAGGAGGGACAGGTGTGAGCTGGTTTCGTTAATCCCACTCCTTGAGTGACTCGCCCTCACGGTATCCGGTCCTTAAAAGCACATGGTATGACTCCAGTAGGGACTTGAGGGTGATTGCGAAGATTGAGAAAGGCCAGTAGCTGACTCTCTGCTCTTCCATATGACAGATGGGGAAACTGAGGCTCACCTGAACTAAGTGTCGGTTGGCTAGGGCTGCTGCAAACAGCAGAGACATGTGGTCTTAGTTCTGGCAGCTGGGGCCTGAGATCCGGGGTAGAGCCCATCTGAGGGCTGTGAGGGAGTCAGCCTGGCTCTCCCTGGCTCCTGGGGTGTGCTGGCCCTTGGTCCCATGGACCAAGAAGCGTCACCCCAATCTCTGCATCCATGTTCAGCTGGGGTTCTCCCTGCGGGTGCACCTCTGTACCTCTTTTGCTCATGGGATGAGGGCCCACCTTGCTCAGCGCGGTCTCATCCTCACTAGCTACATCTGGGATAACCCACTTCCACCCAAGACACATGAGTTTCAAAGGTTAGTATGTCAACAACCAAATATGGGGGCAACCAAGTGACTGTCACAAGTTCAGAAAACCAGAACGTGGACTCGCCGGTCAGGTTTCACAGTCCAGGTCCCCGGCCTTGGAGCCAGCGGCCAAGAGGGTACCACCAGCACCGGCCGGCCCAGGCCTCACGGGCAAACTTCAGAACCACAAGTACCATGACCGTTTTCTATATAGAGATTACATGTTGAAATGTTAATATTTCAGATACATTAGAGTAAATAAAACATAAGGAAACAAATTTCACTTATTTCTTCTTACCTTTTGGAACACGGCTGTGAGAGGTCGGGAAACCTTCTGTGTGATCCCGTGACGTTGCTATTGGCCAGCACGTCCAGGAGGGGCTAGGAGGGGGCAGGCCCTGCAGGTGGCACAGCCAGCAGGTGGTCTGGAAGCCAGGTGGATGTCAGCTCCTCCACTTACTGCTGTGTGCCCTCTGCCAGCCGCTGGGCCTCCTGGGCCTCGGTTTCCTCATCAGTGAACAGGGAGTTGTAGCCACTGCACGGCGCATGCCTGCCCCACCGGCCGGGGGCTGCAGCAACACAGCAACCCGGGAGCAGCGCAGTCCTTTGACGTAGCTGTTTGTGGGTCCCTTAATTCCACCTCGCCTGCCTGGGGCCTCTGGTGTGCTGCTGATCCTCTTTGTGCGGTCATCCCGAACATGGGCTTGGGGGGGTCAGGCAAGGGTATCCAGCTGTGCCAGGCACTGTTCTCGGTGCGTCACACACCTTTGTGTGCACTCCCAGCACAGCCCTGGGGGTGGTTCCCTGTGATCATCACTCCATAGAGGAAGCTGAGGCATGGGAGGGCTAAGCAAGCTGTCCAAGGAAGCGGGGAGTGCCACTGCCGTAGGCAAGAGAGGGTGAGCGGGCCCCTCCTCCACCTCCCAGTTTTCAGTGGTTTTGCTTAACGTGATGACTTTCATAATGTGAAGCGGTTGCCTCTGTGTCCCGACAGCACTGGTCTTACCCTTCCCTAGGACTTCAGTTGCACTGCAGTGTGGTTTTGCCCCCCAGGAGACATTCAGCAACCTCTGGAGACATTTCTAGTTGCCATAACAGGGTCTTTTGCTGACACCCACAGGTCAGAGATGACGCTGAACATCCTATGACGCACAGGGTGGATAGACAGATAGGCAGACACCCCCCACCCAAAGAAGCACCAGTAGTGCTCAGGCTTAGAAACCCCACAAATCAGACTGTCAGCCAGGAGGGGACCATGAGGAGGTGGAGGGCCAGAGAGGGCCAGTGACTGCCCAAGGACACACAGTCAGATATGACATGAGTCAGCGATCAGACTCAGGACTCCGCCGGGCATGTCCATGCGCTTTATCTTTTTCAGATTCTCATGGTAATTTTCAGTAGCTTGTGACTTGTTTAAGTTAATGCTCTGTCCGTTGGAGCCAGTGTACGAGCAGTGTCTACTCCGTGATTGGAGTTAGTTTGCAAGTAAAGAAACTGGACCCAGTGTACCATGGTGCCGCGGGGAGGGCACGGGGCAGCTGGTGGACAGCAGTTACTTCCTCTGCAAGGAGCCTGGAGCCCTGGGCCTCCTCTCAGGGCCTCAGCCAGAGTGGGCAGGAACACGAGAAAGAGGAGGCCACCAACCAGTTTCTCCAGGGAAGCCATCTGCGGGAAGGCAGCAGACCCTGCGGGGTCAGGACCCCAAGAGCTCCCCACAAACCCATGGACAGGAGAGAAGAGGGGCCAAGGCTCTCCACAAGGACAACATTCTTCAGGGTCCACCCCTGGCAGCTCCTGGCACCCCTGGAGCTGGGAAGGAATGAACTAATGAAAAGGCAGATGGAGGATCACGACGGAGGAGCCGGCTCTGAGCTGCTCATGGCTTCGAGGTGGAGATACCCCAGGACAGCCGGCTGGTGCCCCTCCCTCATGTTTGGACTCAGTGGGTCTGGAGTAAGACGCCCCGTATTTTTCACAAGTTTCCCAGATCAGGCACATCTGGGAAACGCTTGGAACTGGACAGAAACACCAGGGAGTTGGGGGGACGGGCAATCACCGGCAAGCTGGCCACCACTCCCTGGCGGGTGACGTGGGTACACGCTGTTCTGTGGCCCCTTTCCTGTTGGCAAGATGGTGTGGTCATTCCCACCCTGCAGGGGTGTATCCAGACTCAGATGTCGCCGAGTGCGGGCCCGGACACAGGAGCTCGTGACTCTGGATTACCACCGCTGACGCGCCCCCAGGGGAGTGGGTGATGACGACTCTAAGAGTGACAGTCAGGCGCTCTTGAGGCAGCAGCTGTGTGACCCGGGAGAGCTGCTAACCCTCTCTGGTCCCCAGCCCTCTGCTCTGAATGTGATGGAACCCGGCTGTCCTTGCTGGGAGCCGTCCTGCAGGCAAGGGAAGCACCTGGTTCGCAGCCAGGTTGAGGTGCACATCCGTCCACGCCCCTCTCCTCTTCTCTGCTCTTTCCAGGAATTTGAGAGCCTCCACCCCCCATACCTGTACCCAAACACACACCTGCCTCGTGACACTGACTTGGCAGGCCCCAGGGCCCTGCCAGCTGGCACCTGGCCCTAAACCCAGCCTCAGAACCCTGCAGCACCTTGGTGGTGAGGATCAGCTGGGGCCTTGCCGCCCAGGCCCCCCTCACACAAGGGACACTTCAGTCCTTGACACCCTGAGAGGGCACAGCAGGCCCCTGCGGCTCAACCTCGAGGTCTTCGCAGCTGTCGCTGGCCTGTCACTCCCGTCCTTGCGTCCTCTTCCTCCCGGGTTACGTCTCCTGCTGCATCTCCGCGCCTCAGGAAGTGATGGGTTTTCCGGGAATCCTCATCTTGATGACTGGGCCCTCTTACACGCCTGGGGCCTGCGCGGCTGCCTCTGCGATGACAGACGTGTGAACTGGGCCCCGGGCCAGCTCCCCTCGGGGGGAAAACAGGCCCCGTTGTTCAGAAACAAGTAAAGGATGTCAACAGGAAGAGGCGCGTGACCCGCAGCCGCCCAGAACATTCCCGGAAGCGTACACATCCCCTTCCTGCTGCCTGCCAGGCGGTGCCCCCACCGCTGCCCCCCAGCCCAGGGCCACTACAAGGAGGTCAAGACCTGTCAGAAACGCAGACTCCAGCACCCGAATCCAGACCTCGGTGCATTTCCCTGGTGACCCCTACTTCCAGGGCTGGCCGCCCACAGGCACAGATTCTTGCTGCGGGGAGCCTCCCTGTCTGTGGATGAGTGTGGAGGGCAGTCCCCAAGGCCCCCACACTGATGACATCACTGTTACTGTGAAGGCCAGACCCCGCTTCCAGGGGGAGCACAGACACATCACCTCACCTGCTGAGCCTCTGCGTCCTCCTCTGTGAAGGCCCCGTGTGATGTTCCAGGAGGCCACCAGGAGCAAGCCGGGGCTGAGCCCCCCGAAGGCTCCCTCTGGGGGAAGGCTGGTGGGAAGCTGTCCAAAGCACCCCTTGGCCCAGAGCTGGTGCAGCTCCACAAGTCTGTGCTCAGGTTCCACCCCCCGCCCCCCCATCTCTCAGGGCAGCCCAGAGAGAGGCTACCGGCCTCTTGGTCAGGGTGGTCCAGAGAGGGGATGAGTCTGGAGCCGAGAGGCCTGTCACATGTGCCCATGCGGGTTGGGGCATGCCTGGAGTTGCCCCCACAGCCTGGACCCTGGGCTGCGGAGGCCCAGAGCAGGCCACTGTGTGGGCAAAATGCTGGAGCTGGCCCCCGGCTTCCAGGGCTCTCGGCCTTCGCCAGCTCTGGGGCCGATCATGTTGTCTAGCAAACCACCCCAAACCCCGCAGTTCAAACCACGGCATTGCTCACTTCTCTCCTGCACCCACCGGTGGTCGGGGGTCTCAGCGGGTGGGCCTGGTCTGCGGGCCACCCAGGCAGATCTGGGGTCTCAGCAGGGTTTGCTCATCCGCCTGACTGGTAGCCGCACCGGCTCCTCGGGCCTCAGGCTCAGCCGTTTCTCTGGCTCAGTGGCCTTGGGGCCCCCCAGGGATGTCAGGTGTCTCACATAGTCGAGGCGAGGGGAGTCAGAGTCTGTCCTTTCGTGGGGGGTGTCAGGAAGCATAGCCCTGTTCTGAAGCCATCAGAGAAGGACTTTCTCGGTGGCTCGTCAGTGATTTCATCTGCAAACCCATCTGTCTCGAGGTGCGGTCCTGGGAAGCCCCTCACGGTCCCACTGAGCCCCCGTGGGAGCCCCATCTGGCCACTCCAGCTCCCGAGGCCGTGCCCACACCTGGGCTCTTGCCCGTCCTCCGCCAGCAGGGCAGCAGCTGCCTGCCCAGCCCTCACGCGCCAATGCTGCCCTTGCCGGCAGGTGCCCTGGACACTGCCAGACCTGCTGGGCAACCGAGAGAGTGTCCTCTCTTAAGGCCGTCTGGTTAGCAGCCAAAAGTCCGCCTGTGACTAATGTCCCTTTGTTACATCACTTGCTCCCAGGATCCGGGGGTGGGGTCCCGGCATCTTTGGGGGGCCATTCTGCACAGTAGGGCCGTTGAGAGGATCAAGTGATACGCTGTATGACAGACGTGAGCCAGTGCCCGACACGTGAGCGTGCTGGTCACGCTGGCCTTTGCCCAAAACTTCCAGTGGCCTTTGGCACAGACCTGGGGTGCTGAGCACGAGGAGGGGCCTGCTCCGCTCTCCTGGTTTCAGGGAGGAGATGTCTGAAGCCCAGAGAGGGCAGGCGATGGGCCCCGGGTCACACAGCACACAGGGGAGGCCCGGGCTAGCTGCTTAGTCCTGCCACAGACCTAGGGTGACGTGGGGTGTGTCTCCTGCCAGATCCTGCAGCTCCTGAAGGGCAAGCTCGTGGTGGGCCATGACCTGAAGCACGATTTCCAGGCACTGAGGGAAGACATGAGCAAGTACAGCATCTATGACACGGCGACCGACCGGCTGCTCTGGCGCGAGGCCCGGCTGGACTACTGCAAGCGCGTGTCCCTGCGGGTGCTGAGCGAGCGCCTGCTGGGGCGCAGGATCCAGGTGAGGTGCTTGGCCAAAGACCTCGGCCTCCTGCGTCCTGAGAGGCTGGTGCCACAGGGGCCTTCCCTCGGGCTCCCCAGAAGCGAGAGCAGAGAGGCAGAGAGCAGGACGCCTGTGGTCATGCTCGCTGAGCGACGGGACAGGCTCCGGAGAAGCGACAGGGTCATCCCTGCGCAGGGGGGATGGCCCCCAACTCGGGCCGCTTGGCCTCGCCTCCAGAGACCTGCCCTGCACCGCCCACCACACTCAGGGGCGTGTGGCTGTTTGAGGGGTGATGGGGGAGCACAGTGCGGTGATCACAAGAGGCAGGAGGGGACGGCACCCTGGGAAGGGTTCTTGTTTTTCTTTGTAAAAGTCAAGCCAGTTACCCCATGGCTGACTAGAGCTTGACCCCAGGGGGACTCTGGGAAATGAGGGGGCCACACTGACTTGCTGACCGGGGGCCTGGGCTGTCAGCGTGGGGGTGGGGGCTGCTCTTGGGCCCAGGGAAGCTACAGGGCTGAGGTCAGGAGCTGGGGCTGGGAGGGCCCCAGGGGCTGGGGGACATGGACTCCCATGTCTACATGTGGGTGTCGAGATGTTTATTAAACACCTGCTGTATGCCGGCTGGACCAAGGGCTAGGGCTACAGAGGTAGCAGGGTCCTGTCCTGAGGACTCTGGGTTGGCCATCCCGGTCTCTGAGCACAGCCTGGGGGTGTGGCTGCCCAGGCAGGGGTTCCTCCCAAGACCAGCAGGAGGGCGGGGTACAGGGCAGACCTGATCTGAATGGAGCCGGAGGCCCCCCGTGAAGAGGCCAGGAGGGGTGCCAGTGGGGAGAGCAGTCCCCCAGCAGGGGTGTGTCCCCTGGGGCTGCGGGGATGGGCCTGGCTCGGTCCCTCCGCTGGCCTGCAGGTGTGGCATGGTCAGCCTGGGGCAGCCCTGAATGACGCTTACCTCAACTTGATAAGAACTAGAGAAACGTCCCCTTTATTGTCCCATTTGCATCTAGCCCTTTCTTGTGGGCCTTGGCGCCTCCCCCTAGAGCTGCTTCAGTCCCTCTGTCTGGCAGCAGGTCTGTGGCCCCCTGTGACACCCCGCAGTAAGTGCCGAGGGCGGTCTGCTCCTCCCGAGGCCCGACCTTGTGCCCGGCCCAGGGCTGATGTGGTGAAGCCACGTCCACCCTCACTGGCTCGGTCAGGAAGCCGAAGGGGCAGGGTGCAGACTACGGGGCCTGGCCACTGGGTGTGAGCAGGGGGCTGGCTGGGTCAGCCACCCCAAGTCCCCTTCGCCTGTGCCTGCAGGGCAGCAGCACTGGACACAGCTCTGTGGAGGACGCCAGAGCCACCATGGAGCTGTACCGCATCTCCCAGCGCATCCGAAACCGCTGAGGGCGCCCAGCACAGGACTGACCGCAGTTCCCTTCAGCTCTTCCGGGACCAGTGCCACGTCCTTTAGAGCAGCCACCCTTGTGCCTTTGGAAAATGCTTTTTTTGTAGAAAAATAGCTCATATTTTCTCAACTTCATCACTTGATCCTCTTGTCTTTTCCTTTCTTCTCTCAAGCTGGGGAACAGTGGACAGGACCGTGCAAGATAGGACAGTGAGTCCACTGGGCAGGGCTGGGCTGGGTGGGCGAAGGCCAAGTTCTTTATCCTCTTGAACTCTGGGGGCCCAAGAAGCAGCTCCAGGGAGCTTGGCAGCATCTGACTTTGCCTCTGCCTCCCATTTCCACTTGGGTCTATGCCGGGGCGGGGGAGTCATTTCCTAGGGGCGGCACCCGAGGCAGAGGTCCACTCATCCCGGCTTGAACCTGGGGCCATGGCACTGTGACACCTTCAGGTGCAGAAGGTGACATGGGTTCCGTCCCTGGTGACCTTCAGCAAATCATCCCTCCTCGTGGTGGTAAATCAAGGAAGCAAAGGGAGTCGGGTTCAGGACTCAGACCCATGTCAGAACCCGGCTGTGCCACCTAGTAGCTTTGTGACCTAGGATGAGTCACTTAACTCTCTGTGCCTCAGTTTCCCAATAAGCCCAAGAAGGCCAGTGATTCTGGTGACTGGGACACTGGGGTCCTGCCAGGTAAGCACAGCATTCTCTCACCCCTGTGCCTCCACATCACCTGGCGACCCTGGCTCCCCACACTGAGCCCGCCCCCCACTCAGTAGGTCTGGGCCAGGCCTGAGAACCTGCACTTCTAACAAGTTCCCTGTTGCTGCTGCTACTGATCTGGGGACCATGGTTCGGGAAGCACCAGAGGTATCTGATAGTCGCAGGGGTGCACCTCCTGGGGTGGACTCCTGTGGCCTCTGTAGCCTCCCCACCCACCCCTCCCCTGGTGGCTGTCTGCTCGTGCAGAGAGCCCCTGCTCCATGAGCCCCTGCTCAGAGGAGGGACATCAGGTACTGCAGCTAAGGACCCAAGGGATTCAAAGCCAGTCCCTTCACTGACTTCTTTGCGGTGGTGCCGTCCACTCTCTCTGGGAAGCAGGAGGGCGGGGTGGGTGGTGGACTCGCTGGGTTCTTTCCTGCCCTGTCTGTTCAGGCTGTGGATTTGACCTCAGCTGTTGGAGGATTTTGCGGAGCCTTGGCAGCCGCAGGTTGCCCTGTCTGGCTGTGGCTGGCCACCAGGTGGCGCCTTGGGACCACCGTTCAGGCAGAACCAGGGGACCGTGCCCACCCTCGGGGTTGAAGGACCAACTGCAAATATGGCTCAGGGGCTCTGCTGCCCATAGGCAGCCACGGAGCTGGGGCTCAGACCCGGCTGGAGCCGTGACTCCCAGTCCCAGCTCCTTTGCACAAGGATTCTTTAGGATTCTTTGGAAGGAGAAACAAACCAGGATCCTCAAAGGAACAGCATCCCCAGAGGAAATCCTCCTGCCTGCTTCCCACGTCGTGCCTGGGTGGCTGCCCCCAGAGAAGAGGGGAGGAACCCCCAGTGCAGGCTGGCGAGAGGTTTTTGGTTTTAGATGCGAAGAAGTCCTGAGGGAGATTAATAGCCGCTACCCTTCAAGGCCCTTTCTACACGGGTAGGCCAGATCAACTGTGACTGCCCCACAGACAGTTCGGTCTCAACTGCACTGGAACTAAATGAAATTTAATCACAACATCAAATTACTATACAATATGAAAATAAAGAGACATGAACATTAGAATCTACAAATGCTGGAGAAACAGAATCATCCTTCTACATTAGGCAAAAACATCAAGAAACAGGTTCACTTCAGCTTTTGGAGAAAAAGTTTACATTTTCCACTTTTAATTCTCATACAAACATAACATGTTCCAAGTCGTGTTACAGTCTATGGCACAGGTTTTCATTTTTAAGAGGAAGAATGCCAGCCAGAGGGCCCCCCCATGGCCCCTATGGGCCCCCCCATGACCCCTACGGGCCCTGCGGCCCTCATGGCTCACGCAGCTGGCTTCTCAGCCAAGCACAGTTTGTGGCACAGATCCTGAGCCCTGTAGAGGTGTGTCCCCCACTATGGGACTCAGTTTTTCTCTTCCATCAAATGGGCTGAGAAGAGGATTAAGAGCTCATACTCAGGTGTCCAGCTTGGGGCCGGGGGTGGTCAAACCCTGAGATAGCACCCACTCCTACTGCTCATAGTAAAAAGAAAAAGCCACCTCCAGGCTGTCCCCCAGGTCCACTCCCCACTCAGGCAGGTGGGGCTCAAGCAGTCAGTGCCTCGGCATACATAGAGCAAGGAAGGTGGAGTTTGGGAGGTGGCTCTGTGGCTGGTTCTGTGCTGGTCCCTCACACACAATCTGATCTGGTCCTCCAGCACCCCAGCAGGGGACTGATGTCCATGCCACCCAAAGGCAAGCAGGCCCAGCTCCCAGGCCCATGCTCTGTGCCCCTGCAGACCTGCTCACGGTGGCCTGAGCATTTCAGAAAGCAGATCTGGGCCGCATCGCGGAGCCCCACGGTCACCTAGCATCTGGGCTCAGCCGTGGGCACACTAACGCCATTTCCTCTGCAAAATGGGAATATCAGTCCCAAATCTCATGGCCTTGGTGGAAACAGAGGGATCAGGGAAGTGCAACCTCTCAGACTCTGCCCCAGCTTGTACGTGCAGGGGGTGGAGCGCATTCCCTAGGGATGCCCGTGCTCAGGGCTTCTGCCCATAGTTCTGAAAGTGTACATCAGGGTCTGCTCCAGGCACCCAGGGAGAAGGCAGAGTGGGGCTGCTTTGTGCTGGTTTGCCTTCCTGTCTCTTCTTTCCAAACCCTCTAGCCGTCCCACTTTGCTTCCCCAGGTGAGTGTCCAGCAACCACTTATGCTTCCCCCTAATCTTCCCTCAGGCCCACTGCAGCTGGTATCCTTCCCTAGACCAGCCTCCTGGGCCAGGGGAGTGCACACGTTCTCATTCTGTCCCTTCTGGTGCGAGTCTCAGGGTGTCTGTCCCGGGAATGCTTCCCTGCCCCTCACACCATGGGAGACTGTCGCTGGTCCAGATCAGGAGGCTGGGCTCTGCTGTGGGGCACTGAGTTAGGCCCACGCGAGGCCTTGGTGTGCTGGGCCTGCAGCATGAACCCAGAGAGAAGGGCGCGTGTGGTCAGGGCCTCTGCTCCTGAGGGGTCTGTCCCGGTGAGAGACAAGAGGGCTCAGCCTGATGTGCCCACCGACCTGAGGGCGCCGGCCCACACAGCTGACTGGGAGAGGTAACTTCAGGGTTGTGTCTGGCCCACGGCACCAGTTTGAGTCCTCAACCCTGGTTTGACCTCACCTGACACCTCTCCTTTGGATGGAGGGCTCTCCTCCCTTGGCTGGGAGGTGTCCACAGAGTCCTCACCTCCCAAAATGTACCCTCAGAAGACTAGGCCCCCGATTAATTCACAGCAGGGCTTGCCCTACTGAAGCTCCCCCCAGGGATAACTGCAATGTCTCTTGAACACGTGGCCTGTTGCCAACACCAAAGAATTTCACGTGCCCCGCGTCTTCAGCCTATGACTTTCTTGGTGAAGAGCAGCTGGGTGGGTGGAGCAGCGGGCTCTGGGCACGTGGAGGAGTGCAGCTCATATGTGCCTCCTCCCCAGCACAGCACCCCAACACCCTGTCTTCCCTGCCCCTTCTCTGCCCACTTCCCCCGGGCACCTCTCAGTGGATTCTTAGCAAATAGGGAAGAGACGGGAAGGAAGGGGCTCCGTGCACCGCGGGACGAGCAGCAGCCCCAGCGGGCACAGTGAACAAGGGGGTGGGGGCATCACCTGCCACCTAACCCCAAAGGCATCAAGAATTTAGGGTGGCTGGAAACAGTCTAAAAATGGCCCTGTCTTGCTGAGCACACCTGAGTCACCTCTGATTCAGACCCTTGGCGGCCACAGAGTGAGGGGTCAGGAGAGGACCTGCCCTGCCCTCCCACCTCACCCAGCCCAAGTGGAGAAGGGGCTTCCAGGCCAGAGCCGATCCTCCCCGTCGATGTCTGAGGGTGTCCAGCATGCCCTGGTGGGCTCACCTGCCGCCCCCACGAGCCCAAAGGCCCTCTTCTCTAGGGTGGGGAGCCAGCCGGCCCAGCGCTGCCCAGCTTCCTGCCCGGGAAGAGCTGCGGCCCGGGCCAAGAGGCTTACTCACTGGTGGAACAATCTCCCCTCTATGTGGAAGGACCATATGTGTCTCCTGTAGGGAAAGACGGAGTCTGAGGAGCTTCGCTGGGGCGTGGGTGGCAGGCGAGCCCGGCTGGTCTGCACCCTGACTTCCAGCACGTGCTGCGAGGGACGGGGCGGGGCCCTCTGGTCTCTGCTGCCACGAGGGCACACCGTTGGTGAAGAGCTGCCCAGGCTCAAGGCTGGGTAGTTTGGCCTCTGCATTTTCCTGTCCCCTACCCCCTGACCCAGAGGTAGGGAAACGCAGGGACTCTGCCGGACCAGCCTGCCCCAGCTGGGCCCCATCATCCACAGCCCCGCCCACCTGCCCCAGCTGCACCCCTGCCACACCCCATTTGAGGGGAAGAAACACTTCAATTCAACGAATTGTGCCCCCAGAATATAGTTAGTGAAGGTGCCAGATTAGACTGCCCCCCACCCCAAGATTCTCAGACCCGGTCTCCTCCAGAACCCTGCACTGGCAGGCGGAGTATTTGGAACTAAGAGCAATGAATTCCCTCGAGGCTGGGGAAAAGCTCTGTCCTCACGAGTCCTTCCCCCTAACTGAGAGGGGCCGTCACTCAGCTTCTTCCCTGCCTGGATCACAGAAGCAACCGCTGGTCCCCCTTCTGTCATGGGGCGATCCCCCAGGGGAGGTCCCCCAGGGGAGATCTCATCCAGTCGTGGGCTTGTCTGGGCTTGTCGGCAAAGCGTTTCTCTAAGAACCTCACCTTACTCCCAGATCAGGGTGAGGGTGCAGCTTTCTGTGTGCCATGTGAGGTCTCCACCCCTTCCTTGACACCCCAACACAGATACCCATTCTCTCTGCGATCTGTTAGAATTTACAACCATGTAAATCCTCCATGCCTGTTATTCAGTTTTGGCCTTTTCTCCCATTAATTTGTCTGATGTTAATTTGTCCGTCTAG